CCATCCATCCATCCATCCATCCATCCATCCATCCATCCATCCATCCATCCATCCATCCATCCATCCATCCATCCATCCATCCATCCATCCATCCATCCATCCATCTGCTGTCCTTTCCGCTTATGTTCTGGTCAGGGGGTAGAGCCTATCCAAGCGGCCTTAGGGTGAGAGTCAGGGCACACCGGTCTATCACAGGGCCACAGATAGACAAAAAAGACAGACAACCACATACTCACACCAGTGGTCAATTTTAGAATCCGCAATTGAACTAACATGTATGTTTTTCCGCAAAAAAATGTCCCCGGCTGTGAGACATTAGTGCCAACCTCATCAATTCCATTGAATTAAATTCAAAATATGTCCAATTCTTACAGAACCAATTTAAAAAAATTGCTATGATGTGAAAATTTCATCTTAGAATCCTTCGAGGATCACCATGAACTTTCCAATAAAAAGAGTCTTCTGTATAATTGAAAAACAAAACAAGTTTTAAAATAAGTTAACATTATGTGGTAATGTTTCCATGTGTCCAACAAAATTAAATAAAAAACAATCCCTCAGGGGGGTGCCGGTATGAATCCCTGGGGACTTGGGGACCTCTCTGCGCGGAGTTTGCATGTTCTTCCACTGACTACGTGGGTTTCCCTACAGATACTTTCAGATACATCCAAAAACATGTGTTAGGTTAATTGGACACTCTAAATTGCCCCTAGGATTTCATGTGAGTGTGTGTGGTTGTTTGTTCCTTTCACCCTGTCGCTAACCCTAACCCAATCTGAGACCATAGGAATAAGCATTATTGACAATGTATGATTGGAATCCTTCAGAGTTTCAAGCGTCACTAAATAAATGTCATCACTTCAATTAGCTGATCTTAACCAATATGCTGCTAGGATGTTAATACGTTGGATAAAAAACGTACTCAAAGTGTGGGATGCAATCTATAGGGTTTGTAGACACTGACTCGGCTTGAGAAGTGAAAACAGCTTGGATTTGTCTTGTAACTCAATCACACTGCCTAAGTCCAAATATCTAATTACATCACCAAGCTGATGCTGTATTCTGCTGAGTGGTTTATACACTTTCCTTTTACATATGCAATCTACCGCGGTTCTTCTGGTGTCTAAATCACACCACAGTGCTCACAGCCCACTGCACGCCCTTCCAACAACTATATAAGAAGTCGCAAAATGATGTGATCCTTGAATCTGACAGGCCACTTATGCATCACATTTACGTTTAAGTATCCTGGTTCTGTTTGAAGATGCTTCTCTCACCAGCCTGCAGTCTTCTGTCAGTGCTTCTTTTGAGCTCTGTTGATTCTGGTGAGTTCATGGGAGTAAGAGGTATATAGATGGTTTTTTATTGTATAGTATTGGATTTCATGCCTTCATTTATTCTTTGAATTTTATACACTATCCTAAAATGAACGATGTGAAGAAAACGTGCTCTACACCATTATCTATGGATGACATTGACATCTTGAGTTTAGGCCAATTTTTTGTTGCAGTGGTCCAAGTTTGATTCAGATCCAGTCTAGTTATTTTTGCAGCTGTCAATTTGAAACTAAAAGGGATTTAAGAAAAAAAGATGGTAATGGTGACAGTGTCTCTAGGGAAACTACTGTAAGACTGTTCTGGGAAGAATTAATGTATTCCTCATATCAGAAAAACATTTAACCACGTCCCCAATTGAACAAACAAGCTGGATCCAATCCAGTGACAGGTTTGAGGTTTCATCATTTGAGATTCTGTCTGGAAAACCAGTAGTTTATACAAATGTTAGGTTTAGCTCATTCAAGTTTGAATTAATCTACACTATCTGCTTTTCTGTTTCTTCCATGCCTGCAGGACGCATTTTGAGCACAATCAAGGAGCGTGTGCGTGACCTCCAGCTTCAGAAAAACAAACAGATTCTCATGAGCCTCATAGCTAGTGGTTACCAGCCTCTTCAACACGTGAAGGAGGGCCGTATTCATCAGCCACTGGACCACTTCAACAGACAGAAGATCAACACGTTTCCTCAGGTGGGGAAACAATTAACCATTTTATATTCAGTGATGTCAAAAGGTTTGTACACGCCATAGATGCTCTTAGTGTTTTTGACAAGAGCAAGATATGCTCTTCCACAGCTACAATGCAAATCAGATCAACGATTAAAATGAATTTTTTATTTATTTTCTTACAAATGGCCTCAAGCTAATGTTGTTCTTTGCAGTGTGAATGGTACCAGGTCCTGCTGTCCGTAAAGCATCAAACAAGATGTAATCATTTCTAGTGTGAGAGGATAGTTCTGACCTCACCAGAAGTGATTTAACAGTTTACTTGGCCGCTGAAATAACAAAGTAGGCCACAGAGGACTAAGGTTTCTGTCCCATTTTACTCTGCTGCTTTCAATTTGTTGAGTTTGAATCGGCAGCAGCAGAGTGATATCATTTTTTTGGCGATATGAATCTCAATCTGCAGCTTTGCTGAGCCCTTAAAGAAATTTTAAACAAACTATTTGAAATGTGTACATCTGATATGCATTTGTCTACTTGAACTAAAACGCTTGCAGTAATGTCCTAAATGTGCTTTCTCTCCTGGTGTTTTGTTCTAAATCTGTCATTGTACTGCAGAAATTCTTTGTGAATGAGGTTTACTGGCAGCGACCTGATGGCCCAGTGTTTCTCTTCATTGGTGGAGAGGGACCGCTTTTTAAGTATGATGTTCTGACAGGTATATTGGGGCATCTTCTCTTATCCACATCTGGAAATTCAACAATTACTGCATCTACACTATCAACATAAAAACTTATGATCGGAACTGCTCAGAATACCAATTTAACTCGTAAATCTTTTATCTTTTCTCAAGTAGACGACATAGGCATGATGTTGTATATAATTTTTGTTCCCTTGAAGTTTTGTTGGTTGACAATATTGACAATGTTCCAAAATAGCTGCATTTTGGCATGGCAACAAGAATTTATTAGAATTTTTGTCACAGACAAGAATTGAAAAAGAATAGATCATTAAAAAAATGCCATTGATATCATCCTTTTCTGCTTGTTAAGTATGGTGTTTCCTACCCTGGCTGCATTTTTAAGTAACTTAAAACTTACTTTCCACCTTCATCCATTCATGCTCACATAATTAGTCGTTAAATTATAGTTTAATATATTCTTACTTTCTCCTATCAGCTATAAACATATTTTCCCAGGTCATCACGTTGACATGGCTAAAGAGCATGGGGCTCTGGTATTGGCATTGGAGCATCGTTTCTATGGTGACAGCATCAACCCTGATGGCCTGAAAACGGAAAACTTGGCAGATTTGAGCAGCCAGCAGGCGTTAGTATTAGCTGTTCCCTGTGCAACTGTGTGTGTGTGTGTGATTTGTTTATCAATGCGTTGTGTGTATTAATGTATGATGAGTGTGATCCGTGTAATAATGTCTCATGAAAAAGTTTATCATACGGGCCATATCATATGTATTACTTAAAGGATATCAGACATTCTTTTTTCTTTTTTGTCACTTACTCTTATTGTATATCTGTTTAATTATACAATATTCTTTTTTTTTCTAGAGTCTGTATTAAGTTTGTCTCCAAGATCTTTATTTAACATGCTGCTCATTATAGACGTCTCCCAATCCATCACGTTTAGTTCTGATTACAAATTACATTTGTGGAAATAGTTGTACTTTGTGCAATATCTAAAGATAGATACAACGAAGCTGAATACTTTTAGTTCTGGGCAAACCAAAAATATTTTATAGGACAGTCAATCAAAATTAAGGGCATTCTCTTATAATCAGGACAGGCATCAGCTTTGTTACATATGTGATTATTTGCCTCATGCCGTCTCTCTTTTATCTGCTATCTTTACATTTCTCTGTCAAGACAAACGCGGGATAGCTTGTGCATTTTGCATTAATATTCATTTGATATTCACATTAATTTCTTCACGGTCAGGCTTGCAGACTTGGCTGTATTCCACCAATACATTAGTCAATGCTACAACCTGAGCCACAGGCACACCTGGATCAGCTTTGGAGGATCTTATTCTGGGGCTTTATCTGCCTGGTTTAGAGGAAAGGTGAGGGATGAGACACAGATATGAATCTGTTACGTTTTTTAGAATATCTAAAACGCTTCACACAGAATGTTTCACAAAGTCAGAGTTAGATTTGTTAAAGGTTATATCATCTATATTATGAAATCTTGCCAGATCTATCAATGTCCATTTAATGTGTTTCACCATCATTTATGCTTTTTGAAAATAACAGCCAAACATCGCTGGCAGAAAGAAAATTGTTTGTATGTTAGGCATTAGTTGAATCACGTTGCATAATAATCCATCTTAACTCATTTCTAGCTTGTGACTTTTCTTACCTCATTATCTTTGTCCACATCTGCAGTTTCCCAGTTTGGTGTATGGAGCTGTGGCCTCTTCTGCTCCAGTCAAAGCAAAGATGGACTTTTCTGCATACAACAGTGTACATTTTCTATTGTTGTGAAAGTAGCACGTTTTGAAAACTTAAACCCAAATTATTTGGAACATGTGCCCATCTTAGCACTATAGCATTTTGATTTTAGCACTGCATAATGAAATGCACCTTGATGGTAGCTACGCTCCTTCACACCCACATGAGCAACATGTCTTTCTTTCTTTCACAGGTTGTTGGTTTGAGTCTGAAGAATGAGGCTGTGGGTGGCTCAGAAAAGGTGTGAAGGCTGCCACCTGTCTGTGTATCATATAATTCAGTAATTTAGTATCTGTCATGTTTTGTGTTGAAATCAGTCTTAATCTCCCCTACAGTGCCTTGCAAAAGTACAGGAAGCATTTAATGTTGTGGAAGCAGCACTGATAGGTGGAAACTTTAGCCAGGTAGCCAAAGATTTCAGCTGCTGCCAAATACCAAAGAATCTTGACGATCAGGTGATTGATTTTTTTTGTTTTTGCTCTAAGAAAATTGTATACATCTCCTTACACAAGTGAAACCTTTTTCTTTTTTTTTTAGCAGCGTGATCCATAAACCAAATGCCCCAAATAGAATATAGAATATAAATTATCATTAAATTAAAGTGGCTTTAACAAAGCACGGACAATGCATATCATAAAAAAATATATTTTTTTACAGTTTATCAGTTACGATTTAGCTATTTTCACAAGCCATACAACTGTGATTAAATGTACAGGATATCTGGTGCTTAAATTTTATCGTACCATTATCTAGAGCTAATTTTTTAACAATATTTTAATCACTTTTGTCGTCTTTTTAAACCATTGATGCATTAGACTTATTTGATGTAAGATAATACGTTTATGTAACTCACTCTACAAACTGCTTTTAAGAAACTGTTTTTCAATTAGTTTTAGCTATTATTCTCATGCATCGTAGCTAACTAATCCGTTAAATCGTAATCTTTCACTCATCTTAAAACTTCAAGTGTGTCCATTATTTTAAAATTTGAACAATCTATCTTCTATTAAATAAGTTAATGGTTTTTATAGATCACATCTCGCAACAATGTATTACTTGTTCAAGTCCTGGCTTGGGCCTTCCCTTATGGAATCTGCCTATTATCTCCAAATGTGAGCATTGGATCTCGCTGGGCTCACTGTCTTCTTACCACCATCAAAAAATATACATATTAAGTTAATTGGTTTTGGTGTGCATGGTTGTTAGTCTCTGTGTGGCCTATGATAAGCTGGTGATGTGCCCCGGGAGAGGGTCTAGCCTCACAGTTAATGTGGATAGATTTTTAGCACAAATCAAAAAATGAATGGGCAATTTAAAATTGATACTGTTACACATTCATTTTCATACTGCATCACTCATTATTCTAAACCACACTTCCTTACTTTAGATTGAGCTAATGCAAAACTTGGCTGATATTTTGATGGGGACTGTGCAGTATAACGAAGAGAGCGTGCTAATGTCTATTAGTGATCTCTGCGGTGTTATGACCAACATAAGTGAGAAACATGAAGGGCGCATGGGAGCCTACAACCGTCTTGTGAAACTCTCACAGGTAAATGCAACCTTCCACACTATCTTCCTTTCTTTTTGATGCTCTGATTTCACCACCAGATGTCCCTACAGACCAATCTCAATGCATTTCCCACACTGGATAGGCTTGTGGCTACCAATGGGAAGGACAAGGACTAGCCCCCCCTTTAATGAAGAGATAAAGTTATAAAGACTTGCAATGTGTCATGTATAATCAATCTTTGCAGAAGTATCGCCTCACCACTGAGGAGCAGTGTCTGGACATCTCTCATGAGAAAACATTGCAAGTTCTGATGGACACCTCCCTTCACACTGGCGGAAAAGCTGAGAGGCAGTGGACCTATCAGACATGCACCGAATTTGGCTTCTGTATATCAAGCACACACACATATCACACACAACCAGACATGTAATGACAACATCGTTGTGTCTTTGTGCTGAACCTCCTTTTCTGAATGTGTTTTTGTGTAGATCAGACATGTGAGGACACCACTTGTCCATTCTCAGGAATGTCAACCCTGCAGGCTCAGACTAAGCTTTGTACCACGGTGTTTAGTATTTCCCAGCATTCTCTTCCAGCAAGTATTGCTTTTACGAACACTTACTATGGAGGAGACAAACCAAACACGCACAGAGTCCTATACGTCAATGGTAAGACTTTTTTTGCTCAAGGAAAGTGACTGATACCAAACACCACATTAAAGCAGGATTACCGATTTAAGGTAGTGCCATTATTCTTTTTGACCGGATAGCCCGAATCTATGAGAGGGCTGTATATTATGACCTGATAAGATAACAGTGATGCAGGGCTATTGAAGAGTCTGTCATTCTTTTCACAGGAGGAATTGACCCATGGAAGGAGCTGTCAGTAGTTAAGGGCACAAGCGGGGAGGGAGATGAGATTCAGACAGTTTTTATTGAAGACGCTGCACACTGTGCTGACATGTCGAGTGGAAGAGTTGGAGAGCGCAGCTCACTAAGAAAAGCAAAACAGGTATGAACACCCCACTGAGATTTGTTTTCTAAACTGTTCCATTAAAGGATATGTTTACATTTATCTACACCCATCTTTGAATGCTGCTCTGCGGCCACTTCAAGTGCAGTTGTTGGTTATAACGCTTCTTCCCACTCATGATTTGAGGTTACAGAATGCCGGGCTACTGGTATAAATGAGGAAAAGCTTGTGCTATTCAAAATATTGTTTTTGGGTTGCACAAAACCAATGATGGTATTTCACAAATGAAAATATTGGTATTGGTTAGAATGTTGGAAAAGATTCAGGCACTGAGCAAGCACTTTTTTTCACACACAGGAATCGTATGAAGGTAAATCTCCATATGGAAAATCAGATTTATAAGCGACCATCTCAAAATGTGTCAGTATCAAGTGTACACAGAGCTATTTGGCCGGTTAAACTCACAGATCTTGGTAGTCTCACTATAAAACTGGCCTTTAGGTCAATTGTCAGGAAAATAATTTACCCGTGTATCACAAAACAAATGAAAGGCTAATGCATTTCACTGGAGATTTTAAACGGATCTTTCCACCTCTCAGGAGATTGAAAAACACGTTGCCGGCTGGTTGAGGACTGCAGCACAGCAGAAGATGGAGAAAAGAGCAGCCTGGTCATGATAAACCTGATCACGTCTTCCCCCCATTTTCTGAAACTGATAAGAACTTGGAAATAATCTGCCCTGTTGTGGCGGATCTGCTCTGCTTTATTCTCCTCCTCTTATCTACCATTTCTTCTAGTTTACACCCATCATTGCCCCATATAGATTCACAGAGCTTCAGTTCATCTGTTTGCTTGATTGGGTTTGGTTTGATTTTGAAAGATAACTGATTATACAGATATTCTTTTTTTCCCAGTCATTGTTATTTATCTTTTGTACATTCTGTTCAGTTATGCTGAAATATCATGTCTAAGGATTGTGTTTTTTGGTCGCTTTTATTGCTTTTAGGAGGGTTTTGTTTAATTACCAAGTCAGTATGTGCTTTCAACTTTTTTACTCAACAACTTATTTTTTCACATCTTGGTAAACATTTATCTTTTTGTTTCTCATATATTACAATAGTAATCAACTGTTGTTACCTTGACTTGTCAGCAGGGTGTGATGTTGCTACTTAGGTGGGAAATTCATCCCTTGAAACACCACATATTAAATATTAAAGAGCTTGAACTGTCAAAAACATTAAGCATTCAAATTAAATTCTTGTGCCTGTTTGTATGGAGTATTGTGCTTGGATTTCCCTCCATCTTTTATATCTTTTTGGAAATAATTTTGAATGATTTGAATGAGTGGAATCAGATTCTATGTGTTGATTTAATGTAATTATTCTTTTAGTAACAATTAATGAAAACATGAGGATATCATGTTTATTTGTGAGAGAAAGGTGAGCGAGCCCCAGTTGTCCCAAGGCCATCTGTTTTCTTGCGTGGGTCTATGTGTGTGTGCGCCTTTGCGTGTGTGTGTGTGTGTGTGAACCTCTCAGCAGGGGGGTCAAAAGTGGGAGGTCACGACCTTACTGACCCCATGGGAGTGGAATCATCAATCAACTTGAGGCTGGACAGAACAGCAGGAGGGGACACACGCACACACAGACATACACGCATAGATACTGTAACACACACACTCAACAAATGTACCTGGAGGGTGAGTTAAGGCAGGGGGTGGGTCTTTGGTTTTAAACAGATCAAAAGCACTCTTAAATGGAATATATTAAATACTTAAATTAAAGAAACACCGAATCAGCCATCCAAACAATATATCTTTCTGTCTCTGTCAACACAAACTTACACATGTGTGTGTTTCCTTGATGCTAAATGCGCTTTATTTCTCTTTAGAAACTAACAGACGCTGTCTCACTTGACCACAGAGAACAAGATGGGATCAGGCGGAGAGAACATGCATCCTGAAGCTCTTTTTCACTCAAAACCTTCCTTCCAATCCTGTTTGAAACAATCTTTGTCTTCTTACTTAACATAGTAAACAAGCACGTGACCAACAAATAGACACAAATGCTTCCACAAACTCCAAGAGCCACTATCTGGATTATCAGCCAGCACTTGCAGATCGACAGGGCATGCTTTTTCTCTATCCACTGCTTCCCTCCTCCCTCCACAGCCTGTCCTGTTGATCAATGAGGAAGTTCTTGGGCCTCAACTATTAATCAGAGCCTATCGGCTATCTGTCTGCTGGGCCAACCAATCATGGTCCTCCGACAGCTGCGCCATGAAAAATGTGGCCTAGTGGATGGAGGGGAGGCTGGAGGGGATGGGGTGGTGATGGGGTCGTGGAGAAGATGAGGGAGGTGTAGGAGCAGTCTATCTGATTCAAGTCAGGTCATGACTGCACAACAGCTTTGTATGCACACACATACGATTCTTAGCATGGGTTTCCTCCACAAACACATGCACGATGAGGCTCACAAGTTTCATGACAGAGGCGATCAACACATTTTCTGCCTGTTTTCCATTTATATCAAACACAGGCAGCCAGGCAGCACCCACTGTGATGATACTGTTTTCCTTTTGGTGACCATAAAAGTGACTGAATGTGACAGAAAATCCAGCGAGCATCGTTTCTTTTAGCATCTCGGTGTCAGAAAGCTCCCCAGTGAAAACAACAACGCTGTGGGACTGATGTCCAATAATGAGGCATGTCCTCACACCTCGAAAACACACCACCATCGCTCTTCTGCATAATCACGATGCTCACACTCATCCATTCACATCTTATTGCCATGATTAGATTACATCTAATGCTATTACACCACTCCCATCTCTCTCCCTCATCTTCACTGCACCTCTATCTCCCTCATCATAGATTTCTTGCAGATCTTATTAGAGTGTGATGTGGTGCAGGTCTCCCTCCTCTCTTTGGATTTATGAACCCTCCGACTTCTCTCCTTTAATCTGTCTCTCCTCCTCTGCTCCCTTCCTGCATCTGTCCATCTATCATTCCCAGGGTTGGCTTGGGCGGAAGAGTATTAATCCCACCATCCCATCTCTCACTCCGCTGGACAGATGAGGAGGCGGAGGAGTACAATGCGTATGGGAGGAGGGGTTGAGGACAGTAGACCTCAGATTACTTTTCATAACATTTGGATCATGCAGATTTGTGGGGAAACTTGATGAGACACAAAAGAGAATTTATGCAGATGTATGCGGAGGTGTAAGAGCCTCTACAGGTGTGAGGACAAGCAGAGGTAAGGGTTTGTGGGCGGAATGCGAATCCAAAGAGTGCAAACATTGGTGATAAACGTCCCGAAATGGGAGAATGAGTGTTCTGGTCACCATTTTGGGATTGTTTTTTGTAGTTTTCTTATGCAGGGATCGGGAAAATCATCCGTCCTTTTCAAAGCACCCTGTTCTTTAGATAGGCTAAAAAAAATCAATTTTATAACTTTTTGAGGCCTACCAAACTTACACAAAGGCACATAGTTGATGCACATACACAGAATACGTTTAACAGAATCCAATAAACTCTGGAAAATCAATTGGGCATCTTAGGAAATGTAATGAGTCCAGTTCTTCCAGCCCTGATTAATAAAAAAAGAAGCAACAAAAGAAATGTTAAAAAGGAAAAAAGATAGAGAGAAAAATCTTTCTCCAGAATAAAAAGTAAAGCCAACTCTCCTCTCCTCAGCCCTCCTTCCCCCATCCAAGCCTGTGCAGTGACAGGTAGATTAAGGGGCGTGATAGATGCTCCTTTCTGTATCTCCCTCTTTCCATCTTCCCCCCTTTCCCTCCCTTCCATCTATCATGGTGGCTGGTGTAATTGCGGCTGTGTGGGGCTGGCAGAGGGAGCCTCCATCCATCTCCTTAACAACAAACAGTCATGAGGACGGATGGCACTGCACTCCCCAGTTAATCTCCATCTATGGAGGGGGTGGGGGGGGAGCAAAGAGGAGGAGGGAAGGGACGGAGGAGAAGAAAATAAGAATACTAAAAACAAAAAGGGGATAAGGGTAAGGTAGTGAAAGATGAACAGAAAGATGGTCATGTATTTTGCCTGGATGGGGAAAAACAGCAACAGAAGACAAATGACCTGGGTGGGTGGAATGCAAGAAACTGCGGGAAAAGTTTGGAAACAGGCTGGAGGGGCAGGTAGATAGGAGTAGATTTGCCAAACAAGAGTATAAGAAAAAAACATAGAAGATGTAGGGGAAAAGAGGAGGGAGGCAGAAAATTTATATCTATGCAGCCAGACAACCCAGAAACTAGAGAGGCACAAGCTCATAAAAATGCTCTCTGCACCCCCTGACTGCCCCCCAAGCCTTAGCCCTCTTTCTTTCCTTCCCCTTATCCTTCACTTCTCTCCCTACTTCCCTCCATCACCCTGATCCTTCAGCCTCTCTCACTGTGAGGCAGGCGGTGTAGGCTCACAGTTGTCTGATGTTTTGGGAGGTTGTGTGTCATTGCCAGAGGTCAAGGCAGCCATATTTCGTTAATGGTGGAGTCACTGAAGTCAACAAGGATGGGTGGCCATCTGAAGTCATGTAAAATTAGACATAGGGGGTAAAAAATTGTTGAACTACGGGCAATTTAAGGACCTTTTTTATCCTCCAAATTATAATTTGACGTTTGGAACATGTTTAAAATGACAATGTCCACAAAAACAATATAAAAATTTCAGAGAGGAATTTAGTTATTTGAAGAGCAGCATTGTCTGACATTTCTCAAAATTTTCACTGATTACAGCTAATCACTTCCTCTGTAACAGAAATATAAAGACAATCATGTATTCTCTCAAACACACACACACACACAAACACACACACATCTCGTGCTTCTTGGGTCCTGTTTTCTAGCCCTGGGCAAGGCCTGGGGTGAAGCCAAACTTAGAAAAAGGAAGACCAGTGACATGGACCCTCCAGCATGCAACCAAATGGATACACACATATGCAACATGTACATTCCTCAGCCTGCTGTCATGAACACACACACAGCTTGGTATGGGCCAAACTCAGCATTGGTTGGTGCAGAGTAGTGAGCTCTCGAGGCTCAACAGGGAGAGACAAATATCTGCAGCAGCTTTGACATACAGCACGGCCCATGCACACAAAACTTGCCTGACTATCAGAGCATGTGTTTTTACTTTTAGTTTGTATTTGGATTCGTCATTTTTTCTGAACGTTTCTCCACAGGCAAAGCCTTCAACATGAATTCTGTGCAAATAGTACCCAAACACGAACCGGTGTCTACTTATTTGTTGCTGTGCAGCTGTTTGTGCTTTGGTGCTATCAGGAAAATAGGACAGAGGGTAAATGTGTAGAAATAGAAACCAAATGTTTAAAGCGAATACATTTATGAGCAAACTAACTGACTATAGATCACTTGGCCAGAAAACCTTACTCATCAACTTTTAGATGATCAATAAACTAAAAAATATATATTTAAAATGTTTTCAATTCCAGAGCATATCGGGCACTATGTAGATGATGACTGAGTGAATTTGGATAAAGCATCCATATTATTTTTAAAACAGTGTGGTTGAGTATTTGTTAGGCGACCTTGCTAAAATATGAAATGATAGGCTGACAATGCATGCAAGATTTGAACTTACAGCATCTTGCAAAAGATCTGATCAGAATGACAAGCAGTCCTGTATTTTAAGCATATAATTTTTAATTTGCTCAAGCGCAAATACATCAGAGTGACATTATCAATTCCTTTACAAGAAGTAGAATGGTCTAAACAGAGCTACAAAAATAAGTTCTTTATTTCATTACTTTAAAATGAAAAAGTGAAATTTAACTAAGCTAATGCAAGCATTAATCTCACAGTTATTGGCAACATTTATCAACTTTCAGCTGCAGATTCTTTTGCAATGATTGCGGCCCCAAAACAGCTCTTGTAGCCTGGAAGAAGCTTAATGCACCTGTCTGCTGTTAGCTTGTGCCACTCTTCTAGAGGTATGTTTAAATGCTTTGAAACTAACTTGGATCCATTTAGGAATGGAATAATTTAGATATTTTGTATGGTTTTTAACAGAAGTATTAATAATGCCCAGATTATAAAACTCAGCCTCTTCCTTTTCTATTATCTTATGTACTATGTCTAGGCTTTTCTGCAACTTTTTGTCCTTTTGTCATGTTGTCTTTCCTCTCACAATAATAAATGCATCACATCAAAGTAGCCTAACTGCAAGATACAATTGCCACCCCATGTTACTGAGGATTGGAGTTCTAGGGGCTTCATTTCATCATGTTAAAACAAGTGGAACTTGCAAAAGGCTCTGTTTTAGATTCTTCCACCCGGAGAGCACTTCCTCAATCAGGATTTTCTAACTACAATTTTTGCATGTTCTCCTTACCTTTCTATATATTTTTTGTATCTTTGTTTTATCTTCACAGAAGAGGTCAATTGAGGCCCTCTTTTGAAATTTTTAAAAAATTGTAATCCACTTTTTTGGACAAAGGAACAATACATCTTATAATTTCTTAGTTTCTTGTGGGACAATTACTCCACTGGTAGTCACTAACTTTTTACATTCCATCAGAATATTTATAATTGGATGTGTTTTGCTTTTTCCAAAGAAAGTGACATTTATGCTCTTATGAATTGTGGTGACCAGCAAAATATATGCACTTCTAACAGAGGGCAGAGATTGCCCCTTTAACTTCTTGATGCAATTACAGTCACAAACAATGAGACTGATTATACAGAAGCAAACAAAAAACTTAGGTTTTAAGTTCACCACCAAGACTTTTAAAACTCAAACTTACCACAAAAAATATGCTATTCTTGATCTCTTTATATCTTTCTTTTTCAAAACAAATAGATGCTTTTTGCTGAATTTGAAGAAACGTTGCCTTATAAGCTCTTTTAGGACAACTCAACCTCTTTTGTTATGTGTGTCATCATCTGTGTTGTGCTAAAGGTGTGTTAAAACTTGAAGTGATGTGATAATAATGACTGATCCTCCAAGTGTTTAAGATGCTAATGAGAGTAATCTACATGTTTAGATAACAGATTGTGTGATAAATGTTCCAAAGCCTGAAGATTTATGGTCAAATTCTTGACATTAAGATCGTTAGATCAGTTAAAGATGTATACATAAACTATTTTATGAGATAAAAGGTTAAAATATAAATGTAAATCCCTGTTAACAAGAATTCTTCAGTGTTAATCCTTTCCATTGAACCTGTTGAAGGGAAAACAAGCCTTGGGTCCCCTTTTTCCAGCCCATTGACACAGCTCCATAGATGTATTACGGGCTCAGTGTAGAGGGGGGTTGAGCGCTGTGATCACCCCTGTAGGAAAGCAGCACCCAGCAGAGTTGAAAGACCGCTGGCTGCAAGGGGACTTTGGAGGGCCAAGTCACAGCCGGCCCGGCCGTTAAACAGCATGCCGCCCACCCAGACGCCCGGCCCGGCCCGCTGATCCCCGCCAGGCCGCTGTTGATTGAAGTGCAGCCGCCTATTGGCCCCTCACAGCAGGACCGGGGAAAGAGGAGCATTTTGGATAATTATTATGTTACTTAGGTGTCATTTACAACACAAGACTGGGAGTTTAGCTGTCCCACTAACATGTGAAAGGTTTTTTTTTTCCTTTTAGCATTCCATCTCTTTTTTTCCTTTGGTTAAAATGAAACTTTGTCACAAATCGTTTTTGTTTTCTTTCTTTCTTTTCAATAAACAAAAAGAGGGCCAAAGGGCTACATTTGGGCAGCGTCAAAAGGCTATACCCTTTAATGGGTGTCTACAAAAACAGTTACACGCTGAAAGCTTATCTGTCAGTGGATTCCTTGTCAACAAGCACGCTTCAAACTTATTTATGATCCGCAATAAGGGGCAACCTAATTAAAGCTCTTTGAATTGACCTCAATTAGTCCCAACAACAGCCTTAAAACGGTCTCTCATATCAGCTTTACAAGTTCACAAGTTTGTTTTTGTTTTGTGTGTTTGGACGTGCGCACATTTTGCATTGAAATGGCCAGCTTGATAATTATCGATTGTCCAGATATTCGTTAATTTTGTTGGAAATGCTCCAAACGATAACGGTTCTTCCACCCAGAGATGGATATTGCGCAGCTGCGGGGGGAGAGGAAGGGAATGGTGGGGAGATGGAGGAAGAGCTCGGAGGAGAGTTGATGTGAAACAGGGGGGAAAACAGCAATTGATTGGATCTTTTCTGATGTTTTGTGTGTGTGAGAAGGAGGAGGGGTAAAGGAGGAGGAATGGATAGATAGAGGGAGGGGGGGTGTTGGGGGGGGGGGGGGGGGGGGAGGGGCCCGGGGGTTTTGTCCCCCCCACCCCCCCCCCCACCCCCACCCACCCCGCAACCACCGGAGTCACCACTCCTCCTCCTCCTCCTCCTCCTCCTCTCCTCCTCTTCCTCTCCTCCTCCTGAGGCTGAAAACACCATTGCTCATCCCGGGCCGTGACATTTTACAGCCTGTCGCCGTATGCTTGCGCGGACAGCGAGCGCAGAGAGCCAAAAAGGAAAAAAGGGGGTGGACGCCGTGGAAGACTGTCTGTCGCCCGCACGCAGAAACCGAGCATCAGGACGCTGTGCGATCCGGAGCGAGAAGCGCACCACGCGGAGGCGAGTCGCTGCAGGAAGCCGCTGCTCCCTTTCACCTCGCCCCCTGGACCAAAACCGGACGCGGCCCGAAACAGGACCGAATAAGGCGGACATTTACGTCTCGGTGGGATATTTCACACAATTTACCGGAGCTTTGATGGCTATATAACTCATCAGCCTATAGCGTTTAATAGACTGCCAGAATTAATTAAAGCGTTTATTACCTCTCAGCGTATTGTAAACCATTATGGGCAATAGGCTCTCTGGATATCAGTCGTCCATAAAAACCTCCAGACCTTTCATTATAGTGAGATATAAAACGCTATGGACGCGGAGTAAACACAGCAGGAGCAGTGGTCCTGCTCTGTTCTCTGCCCACTTAATGTTTTTGTTGAATTATTTAGGGATTATTCTGTCTTGATGTCGATCTTGTTTACAACTTAATCACTGATGCATCTGAACAACAATTGTGCTCTGATTTCTAGGAGCCGAGAGGCAGAGGAAAGGAGCAGAGCTCTCTGGACTAGCCGAGGAGCGCATCTTCATCTCCGGTGAGGGTCTGGCTGTCGAGGCGCATGGAGAAGAGGGTTGGTCTGCCTAATTAAGCTTTCCATTTTTTCGTGCTATGTGACACTGCCCGCTTGGAATTATATGTTTTTGTAGACTGTCACGGATGGGATGATTATCAACACAAAAGGCGCACATGGTGTGGAATTCTGTTTTCATGCACAGAGAGCAGCCACAAAAAATACTAGGCCCGATAGAGAGACCACTGGGTTGTTTCGCATATTGGGTGATCCTGAAATGAGATATATATATAATGGATTTCAAAATCGGTGCTTGTGCTATAAAGTTCGTTTAAAAAAAAAGCTTGTGTTAGCCTTTTACCATAAGTAGCAAAAGATATAATATAAACTTTTAAAGCTTCAATCTCATCATTAGTAAGGTGAAATACAGTTCAGTGAGGTCACTTCCAGCGCGGCAGCTGTTGATACAGATCTAAGATCTCTTCCACTCCTTGAGTTAACAGGCCTTGTCTTTGTTTGATGTCAGTCAGTTAAGGGTTAGAGAGTTGGTCATTAAGAGGCAGAGAAGAGTAGGGGAGATGCAGCTCTCCAACTCCGTAAGTAGGTCAGTTTTTTTGCTACACTGATTCAGAGGCTTGGTGGAGGAGGAGGAAGAATATAGGCAGAGACTAACGGACTGAGCCCTCTCCCTAGAAGAGAGCAATTAGAGGTGTACAGTGTGCACACAGAAATCACTGCTGTATGAAAAAAGTGGCTGTGTAGCAGACTAGAAAGTAGCAGACAAGTTCCCTGGAATCCCATCCACTAACAGCTGCTTTTAAGGTAATTTAGACTGATTTAAGAAATATAAATATAAAAAGCAGAAGAGATTAATATATGTGGATGGGTGCAGCGATTATTGTGATATATTTTGTAATCATGACTTCTGTAAAACAATCTCTGTTTAATAGTAGCATTTTGTATATGATCCGCAAAGCTTTTAAAAGTCAATTAAGATGGAGAATTTAACTAACCTCTGATAATGATGCGCAGTGGATATAAGATAGGAAAGATCACTTATGTTGAAGCGTTTAAATTTGTGACAAGTCACGTTAGGTTTGCTTTGTTTTTCACTCGTACTTTAGTTGGAAGGATTCGTTGATAAAGTTTTCGTCTTTAAACAAACAAACTGGTACCCGTTAAGAACCACGGCATTTGAGTGAAAATGTGTGAACATTTCTGTCATTTGGTTGTACTTACTTGGTTTGTCCATTGTAATGTGTTTTTTGCGTTTCCAAAGTCGGAGGAATAGGAAAATTCAAGATTTGAGATATTATAATTACGGATACATAACGCATCTGCGTCGATATTCAGTGTTAAGAGTAGGATCAAAAGTTTCCAAAGTCGGAGGAATAGGAACATTCAAGATTTGAGATATTATAATTACTGATACATAACGCATCTGCGTCGATATTCAGTGTTAAGAGTAAGATCAAAATAACATCAACTGATTGTTTTTTTTACAGTAACTAGGAAGGGAAAACATGAATTAAGTTTACTTTCTGTTATGTTTATAATCCAAACTCCTATGAAATTCAGTTTAAGAAACTAGCCATGGTTCATGATAATCATTAAACATTATTCAGATGTAAAATTAAAAAAGAAATAAGGGTCGTTGTTCCAGCTCTTCTATACCCATTTTCATACAACCGATGGAAAACAATACGAAACAGAGTGGGACCCAGTTTCGTCCTTTAGCTCTTTTTTGTCCCGTCTTGTTCTCGAGCAGAAACCTGGAGCCACATGGAGGATTCCTGAGCAACATGTCATCATCTCAAAACTCAGACGAAGCTGCTTGGAATAACCTTTCGGTTCAAACTCTTTATGCAAATGTATTTTGGCCATTTGATGTCTGTTTGATGGCTTCGTGACTTTTCTCAAAAGGGCCAAAATTCGCGGAATTTGTCATCTAAACTTGTTCGCTTTGATCCGCTTGACGCGCGGAAACTCGATAGGGGTCGTGCGTAAAAAGAGACGCGCAATTTGATAGCGGTGATTGTGTTAATAGCCAGCAACCATAAAAACTAGAAGGTGTCCCGGGACAGGGCCTCAGAGCAGGTGCTTTCTGTGATCCCGGTGACCATATGGGACTCTGAAATGCAACAATTTGATAAGCCATTTAGGACAGTGGTTTCCAAAGTGGGCTGGGAAGGGAAATTTGCGATTTGGAGAATACTCCCAAATTGGACATAAAATATGTACAGAAAGTAGATTATGCTCAGAAAATAACTTCTGTATGTTTTTAACTGTTAATGCACAATTATAGTTTTACTCTTTGCAAACAACTGAATAAAAATACAAAGCTGATGTTTTATTGTTTGTGAGCCATACAGTATTCGGAAGAAATCTGAAAAACAGTATTTAAATAATAATCCCTTTAATTAGAAGAACATTTTAACACAAGTCACCCTATTCCACCTTGGCTCCATGTTTCGTCTTGCCTGACTTTTCCGGGGTTTCCGTAGAAAAACCTGTCTGAGCACATAATAACTTTTATGGCTCGGTTAAAATAACAGTGAAGTGAAAGGTGTGAGGGTGAAGCCACTTAGCAGGAGCTGTCTTTGTGTGATCGCAGTGGCCCTGCGGGACTACGACAAGAGTCCCTTTAATCCAGCAGAAAGAGAAACAGAAGCAGATCCTCTGACCTGAGCAAAACTGCTGCACAGACAGCAGCTGCAGGCCGGCACAAATGAGCTCATAGACACATCAAACACACCCATAGACACACACACACAGACACACACACACAAACACACACACACACACACACACACACAAAGCCAGATATTAATGTACTGAACATTTCTGAGTGTATGCTTGTCTGTGAATTTTCTTGTGCACGTGTCCCCGTATTTATATCATTTGGATCCGATTGATTATTTTAAGGACTGTCTGTTTATGTAATTGTGTGTGTCAGTGACAGACAGGGACTAGGGAGGTGGTCACAGCAGGTTATGAATGAGGTCTCAGCACGAGTCACATCTAGTTTGAGTTTAGGAGGGAGGAGACAATATTAGCAGCTGGAGACTCACTGTCTTTTTAAAAAAGGATATCTTCCTTTACTGATTACTAGAAATGATCAGACAATAGTGTCTTTTCACTCACTAAAAACTGCTAATTTGATCTTGTTTCCCCCTGCTTGTACTGTTGAAATTATTTTCCCGGGGTTTCTCATGCACAAGAGTAAAGTAACATTTAGCAGTGTGTACATTTTCAGATGAGGGAGAATAGAATTATATGATTCTCTCCATCATTTAATGGATGAAGAAGAAGAAACAATACACACACACAGCTGGAATTTTGAAGTGCATTCAAATCCAGTGACAGTGTAAGACAAACAAAAAGCCCTGCCACACTTCCACGCATTGCGCATTGGCTACTGAGTGAGAAAAACCAGCTCTGCTAACTGTATCCTTCTCCAGTCGGCCAACTTGCTCAGGCCCCCCTGACAGCTTGGCCGCATAATAAAATCACAGTACGACTTGGTGTCAGACAGCCACAGATGTCAAACATGTCTCATGTTTTGTGTCTCTCTGTGTAATTATATTTCAGTATGAAGAGCTGGTGCACTACTCAGGGTCGGAGGGCATGTCGGTGGGGGCGTATGGGGAAGATGTCAGGGGGCTTCCTCCCCCGCAGTACGGACCAACCATCCCTGACTCCCTCAAACACCACAAAGACCAGATCTATGGGTATGGTGATTTATGTGGCTTGTCAGTGGTTAGAAAACTGTTTATTCTGCATGTACACTAGTACCAGATTAACAAACATCCCATATATTTACTGTACGTGCTGAATTTGAGAATCCGTCTGAAGTGTTTACAGCTGTCTGTTTCATAAATACTGTTGTATAAAGTTTCTTGTAACACATTCTGTAAATGTATTGCATGTACACTATGTCAACTGTTACTGTGTTTATGAATAGCGTGTTAACTGTATATGTGTGTCTCTGCATGTGTATGCGTGTGGGCAGTCACCCACTGTTTCCACTGCTGGCCTTAGTGTTTGAGAAGTGCGAGCTGGCCACCTGCTCCCCTCGAGACTCCTCCTCCCTCTCAGCCACCTCCCACCTCCCCAGCATGACCAGTCACAGTGACGTTTGCTCTTCTGACTCCTTCAATGATGACATCGCTGCCTTTGCAAAGCAGGTGAGAGAGGGTCAGGGGGACATTCAAATTTGGACATCAGCTAATATTGGGTTTTTAGATTTGTTTTAAGTGACTTGACTTGTGTTTCAGATTCGTTCAGAGAAACCCATATTTTCTACCAATCCTGAGCTGGACAACTTGGTATGAAACACCATTTCATGTCATGCTAAAACAAGAAACTCGCTTTTCATGCATTATGCTGTGAGAAATGTTCACAAAATTAAGATCTGGCCTCTCTCCGTAGATGATCCAGGCAATACAGGTTCTTCGATTCCATTTACTGGAATTAGAGAAGGTTAGTCACACTCCAATATGTTTTCATGTTTATGTGTTTTGTAGTAAGATTTACCATCCAGCTGTTGATAATCTCCATAGAATGGGCTACGTGTTATTCATCTAGAGGCATGGGAAAAAATGTGTATACTGGCTGTCAAAGAAAAGAAAACACAAGTCACACTGTGTGTTTTAGGACAAACATGAAGTCCTTATAATACAGTATGATATAATAGGATATGATGCAATGTATTATGAATAATACAGTATACTGTATTATGATTAGACACAATACAGTATAATTTGATTCAACATGATATGGTATGTTATTATACTATAGTCCTATATTCTCTGGTCCTTGGATCAGAATATTATAATTTCTTAAATTAATATTAGATAAAAAATAAAAAACTAATTATAATGCATTAATGTAAGGTTAATGAACTAAATGGATTCTGATAATAACAATAAACTACATTAAACCTGATCATAACTGGTTTGAAGAGTGTAAGTGAATCCCACTGGATTGAATGTGTTTAGTTCATCTTTAATGGGGCTTAAGATGTGTTGTGTTGTGAACTTGATGGGAATACATTTGTTTCGTCAAGGTGCATGACCTGTGTGACAATTTCTGCCATCGCTACATCACTTGCCTGAAAGGAAAAATGCCAACAGACTTAGTCCTTGATGAGCGAGAAGGAGGGTCCAAGTCTGACATGGAGGACTTCAGTGGATCCTGCACTAGTCTTTCAGAGCAGGTGTGACACAACTTGTCAGATAGGACAGACTCCATTGTATTTCAGTGCAGTGCTTTCCCCACCTCACCTTTATGTTCTCTCTTTTTCTCTCTCCTCTGCAGAATGCGTCGTGGTTACGCGAGCCAGATGAATGTGCTACAACTCCTTTGGGAACACCAGGGACATGTGGCCTGCCCTCACACAGCACAGCTGACAACTGCAGTGATGCCGGTATGTATGCACATATATACAAACATTTGACAAACAAATGTATGAGTGAAAAAATTTTGCATAGTGCAGTGAAGATTTATACAAGAACATAAATGTGCAGACTAATGAGCAACAAGATTCAACTCAGCGAAGTCTTGTAGAGTCATAAATTGTTGCATTTACGTAGTTCTCACAGTGATGTATCTGTCTAACTCAATGTGTGATTTAACCCCCAACCTATTTATTCACTGTCCATCCCAGTCAAGTGCCAGATTTTACGTTAGAATAAATTCAATTTAATTTAAAAGGACACAAATGCTTAAAAAAAAAAAAAAATCTTATTTTTTCCATACATTGTCACAAAATAGAGAAATGGTGTACAATTGTTCTAGTATAATGGTTCAAGATTTGTATTTTGAAAAAAAACGTATACTTGGTGAGAAAGCCTATGGAAATACTATGCAAAAACAGCATTTTTTTATTGTAGCTTTAAGTGATAGCTGTTCCGTCTAATGATGATAAACACAAGTGGTTTTTGGTTTCTTTGCTGGACCAAACAAGCAGAATACGTCTCATAAACGCAGAATGTCCCATCATGTTTTAAAAAAACACATTTAAACAATTAGTAGATTATTCAAGGTTCCTGCCATCCAATGCAATTAAATTAACCCACACACTGAGCTTAATCTAGTAGGGCCCTAATGGCTCATACTTTTATGTCCATTCACTTGAGGGTGATGAGTTGGTTGTTGTTCTGCAGGTGATGGTCTTGATGGCGGAGTGGCCTCTCCCAGTACTGGGGAAGAGGACGAGAGTGACAGAGACAGACGGAACAACAAGAAGAGGGGGATCTTCCCTAAAGTGGCCACAAACATCATGCGCGCGTGGTTATTTCAGCACCTGACGGTGAGAATGGTTCTTTATATTCCAATGGCATAAGACAAATAACACTCGTGAGTATTAAATTGAGACTGGAATTATGACCACTGTTGTAAACCTGTAACTGTATGAAGACAGTCTGTGCTTCCTGGTGTGAGCAAGTTACTACTGTGAGAGAAGATTTAGTGTGGGCAACACGTAACAGACAAGAAAAGGGAAAGAGGGGAAGTGGAGGTCAATTAAATTAGAGGAAAATTTGGAGGATTAAGTGATAATGTAAATATGCTCTCTGTTTAATCGTTGTGGAAGTGATCGAAATGGACTGTGTAATTGTGGGAGAGGTGGTTAGCTTAATAATTAGGCAATAAATGAGGCAGGTCAAATGTTGCATCACTTATTACAATATGTATGTGTGTGCATGAGTGAGAAGGGAGAGAAATACTTAAATGGAAGTCAGCTGTTGCTGATTGTGTGCACACAGAAATTCAGAATTCAGATGGAGGTGCCATTAGAATTCACAATGAAGGTTCAAAGACATTGTTTTAGGCTGGGTTTAAGAAGAAGCTCCAATTTCTTTCAAAAGGATCCTCTATCTCGTCTGTATGCTTCAACCATCCCCAGTCTGGCTTTAATTTGTTCAACCGCGACTCTGTGTGTGTGTGTGTCTTTGTTTCTAGCACCCGTACCCATCAGAGGAGCAGAAGAAGCAGCTGTCGCAGGACACGGGGCTGACCATCTTACAGGTCAACAACTGGTCAGTGCACTGCTAAATCAATACACAAATTCCAGGCCTGTGGCCAATCAATAATCAATTCAACTGTTTAGTTTAAATAGAAAACATCAACTTTCAAAACAGATGTTATTGTCAAGGGTGTCTATATTTCACAACTCATGTCAAATTATTTTCTTCTACCGTACATATTTGGTGTGAAGAAGTTTATTGGTAAAATGTATCCTCTCGACTACACATCCAGAGAGGATGGTAATCTAATTCGCTGGAGCACATCTCATGATCAGAGGAAAATGCCCTGCAAAGCAGTTTTAGTCAAGCTGCAAGGGGGGAAATCCATTTGCTCCATGCTTATAAAACAGAATTGCAAATCGATATCCAATAATAAAATTATTTACTGCTCCCAAATTTCCTATTCAATCTCCAGCCACAAATGAGCCAACATGAATGAAACACGCATTTTCCCTGTGTCTTATTTAACAGTTTTTAAAATAAAAACCTGCAGATCAGGATTTGATTGCACATGAAACAACATATTTAATCTTTTTATGTCTTGCAAACCTTTATCTGTGCCTCTGCAGCAGTACACAAACACAGAGGAAAGATCAATGTTGATCAATTATCACAGGGTCAATCAATATATATTCTGCTCTAACTTTGATTTACTGTGCACTCTGAAAGGGTTAAGTGGTTGTAAACGGGAAAAGGTTAATAGTCTCCTGTTCAGCCTTTTTCTCTATTAACGGCTGGCCTTGTCTATTTTTCTCACTGTTTCTCTGAACACATATTTTCTTTGTATCTCTCCTCTCCCACCAACCCTGTCCAGGTTCATCAATGCCAGAAGAAGAATAGTTCAGCCGATGATTGACCAGTCAAACCGCTCAGGTGGGTGTTTTGTTGGCCAGTTAAAAAAAACCCTTAGTAAGCATATGTCAGTATATTTGAGTTTATATGTACAGTATATACGTAGATTTCTCTATACATGCATGTCTGAGAGTTGTGCCGTCTCCTAGGTCAGGGTGGTCCCTACAGTCCAGAGGGAGCAGCTCTTGGGGGCTATGGGCTTGATGGGCAGGCCCACCTTGGGCTTAGAACTGCAGGTAGGGCACCCTGAAAAGGAGTTCTGGTTATTCTGTCGCTCTGTGCCTTCGGGTGCCTTCCCTTTGTGCAACATGGTATAAAAGTCACAAAGATGAGCCTTGCTGTTTTGACGCATCATTTTATTACCATGAAAACAAATACTGTTATTTAAGATAGTTGACTCAACCTCCCTAAACACCATCCTGCTGGTGAAAACACTCACCAGAGCACAAACTGTGGAATTATCTGCTGCTGAAAACAGTCTCCAACAGATGCACAATTTACTCCAATTTGTTAGAAACTGCAGAGCCCAGCGGTTTCAGCAAATTACTTTGCTTTTCCTCAATAAAGGTATACATTTTACAGTTTTATGTACCCTGGAGAAGTCAATGGGCTAGGCATAAATGAACAAGAGCTCAGATAAGGAGATAAATGAGAAAATTATATAGCCATGAGTGGACAGAGTAAAACTTTTGAAATAAGTTCCTGAACAACAGATATTCATTGCATTCTATTGAATACCAAATTCGTAAGTCATACCAGTCTTTCTAATATTACATAAACGATTTGTTTATGTGGAAGAAAAAACAATAATCCTCCTATGGACAGTCATTAAAAGATCTTAGCAATAGAAATACTTTAAAAGAACTTCTATTTCAGTTGTTGTGAAAGTCTGTGTAAATTTAACCAGAAGACTGGATATCATTTTATTAATACAGCATAAACATTTATCTTTTATCAAGACTTGAACAAATTTATGCCCTAATGGATTCATAGGGTGAAGTTTTACATACTTTTTGCATGAAGGAAAAAGATGTGCTAAAATAGTAGGTATTTTATTATAGTAGGTAAATAGTAGGTAAAATATTAGCATTTTATAGAATTAAAAACAACAGAATCGTCCCTTGTACATTTGAGAATTGCAACATATGCAAAAAGACTGGAACTGTCAGATTACCTCAAATGGTTTACATTGCAGGCAATTTGTACAATATTCTGTCAATTTTATTCCTCAGATGAGTCAAAACTAACAATTCTGCTTTACTGGAATTTTTCTTCCAACCAGGTCTCCAGGGAATGTCAACTCTACAAGCTGACTACCCTGGTGCTCTGCTCTCCCAGCCAGGCTATCCTTCACACCCAGGACCATCCCTCCACCCGTACCCCGGCACACACCCTCACGCAGCAATGCTGCTCCACCCACCCCCACATGCACACCCTGCAGAGCCACTCCTCACGCAAGGACTGGACATACATGCACACTAGCTGTTGAGGGCGTTAAGATGAACGTGTGTATAAGGAAAACCTATGGAATGAATGTGTGAGTTAGTGTCTGGCGGGATACGTGTGTGTGGGAGATTGTATGTGTAATGACTCCTTCGATACTTTATTTAAAAAACAAAAAACACACAGCTCCAAAAGTTTACATTCCCCAATCTAAGACACTGACCTCAATGTAGCTGTTCCACCTATTGACACACGCATACACACATACGTACAGACATATGCGCAAACACTTCGCCCTCACACACTTCAGTCTGGACCCACAGGTGTAAGCCATACCTCTCTCAAAGTAGAAGTGCTTCCTCCTCTTTAAATGTCTTCACTGTGTCCTGTGGGTGAGACACTTGCTTTAAACTACACTTCCCATCATGCCTGCTCAACCACAGGAACACACTTGATGGGATGAGAGAGTATGCGAGTATGCATTAACAGACTTTTTGCAACTGCACAAGGGTGTTACTGGATGGGACAAAATCCTGTGAACCTGCCTTCTTTCCCACTACCCTTCTTCCTACACTCAAAGATATACACATAAACACACCTCCACACACACTTTATTTAAAGCTTTTTTCCCCTTTTTTTTCCTATTCTATTTTTGTATTTATGTGTGCCACTCCAGGCAGATGTGGCTTCACGTGAGTTTGTTGAAATGTTAGTGCTCTTCCTCAGCATGAAGCTAAATACTATGAATGACTTCCAGTCTGCCTCGCTCTTGTATCACTGACCTCCTTAAGATGCCACCAGGTATCCGTTACCTTAGGATTTTTCCTACACACTTGGAAACACACACACACACACGCACACATCAACATACACAAAAAGCCATTTCAGCACACACGCACACTGACTTCTGTAAGCATTTCTAGTACATTGCGGAGTGTCACAGCAGTATGCGAGGGGAGCTGCCGCCAAAGGACTCTTTAAACATTCAGCTCCCTCTCCACTCTGCGTAGACAGCCTAAAGTATTTCTGAATGATGATGGGAAAAACAGCTAAAGTATTAAAGTGTTTTTTTTCCTTTTTTGTAAAACTTGTCTTCTGTCATTTATATGTCTGTGATTAATTTCTAAAGCATAACCACTCAACATAATATTTTTGCATTTCATGGAGACAATCAAAACAATTATTAATCCAATCACATTTAATACATCATATTTGGTTACTTAAACTGTTGATCATTCATTTAGTTACTTTATCCCAGTTCCAAACCTTATATTGTTTACAAATATCTTCAGCTTGCATGCTTGCAGAGCACTGTCGCCTCCCAGCAAGAGGGTTCTGGGTTCGAATCCCGGGGGAACCAGGACCTTTCTGTGTCTGCGTGGGTTCTCTCTGGCTTTCTCCCACAGTCCAAAAACCTGCATGTTAGGTTGATTGAAGATTAGGGAAATTGCCCTTAGGAGTGAATGTGAGTGGTTGTTTGTCCTTGTATGTCCTCTGTGTGGCCCTGCGATGGACTGGCGGACTGTCCAGGGTGTACCCTGCCTCTCGCCCGTTGACCACTGGGATAGGCTCCAGTTCCCCCCGCGACCCCATCATGGAATAAGCGGTATTGATAATGGATGGATGGATGTCTTTTGTGATCTGTATAATAGAATGATCAAATAGAGGAGAGCAGGGTTTGCAAATGTCAATTGATTACTAACTACAACTTGTAAATAAGTTGAAAGTAGATGCATGTATGAAGTTTTCATGGATTTATTCTATAAATGTTTGATTAAAAGGTTAAAATAATCACATTAAAACAGCAACTCAGTTCACCCTGTATCAAAAACATTAAGCATTAAGAATTCCAAAACATGAACAATAGTTAAACGATCCGTTATCCAATAAAGTGTGTGCAAACCTGAAAAAGTATCCAACATATAAAACGTAATATATAAATAACATTTTCTCGAAATGAAAGGCCCCTATCTGAAAATCATTTTTGAATCATCCTATTGTGAATAATTAAAGCAAGAGACAGAGTAATAAACAACAACAAATCCAACAGAAAATCTGGTGTTTGATGTAGCTTCTGTCCGTAACATGCATGAGATAGTGGCTGAGGTTGTGAGGTAAAACCTATTTTAAAAAGAAGAAAACCCCTAACCTCAAAAGGGTGGCAATTTTATTTCTGGTTTGAGATACTGTGCCAACAATGGCTTGTGTTGAAAAGAAAAAAGAAGAATCAAACACTAAAGAATACTATCAAATACTTTACAGTATCTTTATTTAAACACATTTTAAATTTAAAGGTTAAATAAATTAATTCACGTTGACATTGCTTTAGAGTTGAAGTTATCTCAAAGGTGAATAGTGGTTGAAGAAAATACACACGTAAACTTTTTACTCCCAGGATTCAATCTGCAGTTATATATTTCTCTTAAGAAATACAGTGAAGATGGTGGTAAATATTAAAGCAGATGGCCATGAATCAATAGTGTGCACTGCTTACTGTCCTAAGGTATGTACTAGAAGTGCAATATATGAAGGTTTGTCTTTTGCGTTCAGGATAGCGCTTATGGTTAATTACTCAACAATAATTTAAAAACTTACAACAGATATCAGTTTACAAATATAGAATTCCTGAAACACAACTGGCCTGAGTCTCCTTTGCTCTGAAATGCATTTGAAAAATCATTAAATGGTTTCAATTCCTGAAAGAACAGCAGGCAGACTATTCCATGGACTCCACCACTGTGACATACAATTAGTAATAGATTAGTAATTAGGCACAAGACTGTTAAAAACAATCTTTTTAAAATAAACAAGGCATTTCCTAGAAAAGAAACCAGTGCTTTTTATGGCTTGTGTTCACACATGACTTCTACCTAGTATGATAGCTCTTAACAGTCATGTTCTTTTTTATTGAAGTGTTTCTGAGGGATTTCCGGGAAAGAATCAACCTTGTTTTCACAGCAGTGATGCATGAATGCTGAGAGATCTTGAGTATCCATTATTTATTTTAAATAGTTTCTTCAAGATGTCTGTATGATGGAATATTCAATACTTTTTCTTGTTAATCTGAGCAATATAATTCTGATATTGCTCCACAAATTGCAAGTGGATTTTTATATGGATTCATGAACTTCTGTCCATTTCTATCTGTTATAAAGGTTCAGTTTGAATATACCTAATTACTTTCTGAGCTGTCAATTGCCCAACTGATTGGGAGTGCTGTTTCACCAATTGACACTTTTTATATTGCTTACTTTACATTTTCTATTCAGTTCAGTTTTATTTATATAGCGCCAAATCGCAACAAATGGAGACTTAAAGTTTTAAAGAAACTTCACGCCAATTAATCATAATTAGAATCTGATAGAAAATTAATTGAGATTTGATATTAGCACAATTCATACAATGCTGCCGATTTCAAGGAAATCTGTAAATTAAATCAAATCTTCTCTTTGATTCAGCCCTTATTGGAAAGAAAAAAAAACAAGCGCAAAACTAAAAAAAATCACAAAGGAGTCAGGAAGGGTAGCCACTAGCCTCAACCTGATGAAGCTCCTAAATTCAAAGAAAGGAGATACCTGCTATGGAAGAAAAAATACAATCCAATGAGAACAATGATGTCACATATGCACTTGATAGAGAGTTAAGAGAACAGAGTGAGAGAACTGTGCATCATAGGAGGTCCCCTTGGACTATGGCAGCAAGGTTTCAGGATCACCCAGAGCCATCCCTAACTACTGTATAAGCTTTGTCAAAACAGTTGGAACCTCATCTTAAAGGTAGAGAAGGTGTCTGCTTCCCTAATCTGTACTGGGAGCTAGGAGCAGCATGGGAATTCCAGATTCTGCAATCCATTCTTCCTTTAGAGAAATCTCATGTCCCCTAGTCTGAAAGTGGAGGTGTGTGCTGTTGAGATATTCGATAATGAAATATTTAGGATTTAACTGATTTTAACAATAAAATACTAAAAAAGCTTTAGCAAGGGCAACTGGTTTCTCCTTGGATTTTGAAGACATTTCACCTCTGTTTCAAACGGCTTCTTCAGTCCTAAACTGTGTGATGGGGGTAGCATCTGATACGGTTCTTAAATGTAAGTCTTCAGGTTTGAAAAAGGTGCTGTGGAGAACTTCCTGTCTCATACCAGTGTCTCATACCTAATTTGGGCGCAGACTACAAACTGGTGGCTTTGAAATCTCATATCGTCTATCACATGAGATTGCAGGTTACTGAGGATCTTGACCCCCTCCAGTTTGCTACGTGGAACACATATTCTGCACAGGCATCCGATTATTTGGATGGCACAGGTTCCTATGCGAGAATAATTTTTTTTGTATATTTGAGTGTCTTCCATACATAAAACTTCCTAGACTGAAAAACAAGCGTGTGGGTATGGAGTTTTTTCAAAAGCATAGTGGATTAGAGACTATTTGACTATCATTATGTACTGGGGCTCCACAAGGTGCAGTTTTAGCTCCTTTTCTTTTTAACCCGTACACACCAGACTTCAGTTTAGGGTACTGCTAAATACAAAAGTAATCTTAGTATACAGATGCTGTAGCATGTGTACTAAGGATGTACAAGAGGGGGAGGCCTTGTGGAGGCCTTTACTGGCTGGACCAAAAACAACTTTCTTCCTGAACACCATAAAGGCCACAGAGGTGGTGGTGGACAACAGGAGATCCAAAACACTATGCCATTGAGTATGGAACGATGGAGAAGTGAGAGGGACTCTGTGCTGACCTGCAAATACCTTGAGTAGGTATAGGATGATAAACCGGATTGGTCTGCTAACACCACAGACACAGTGAACGGGAAGGGACAACAGCATCTCTTCTTCATGAGACAGCCAGGTACTTTGATGTCCTTCGAGTTGTGCATGTTTTATCACACTGGCATTGAAAGTACATGGTTCTATGTTGTTGTCTGCACCACAGACAAAAATAGTAGGCTCCCAGATATAATGAAGAAAAAGGACAATTTGGTGAAGAGTACGGTCTGGACCCATGGATGAGGTGGACATTATATTCTGTATTAAACACAAAAGACACAAAACATTTCAACAGGACAGAGAGGTTGAAGCCATTACACAATCCATGAAAAAGTCCAGTGACCTTTATTCAAATTCTAAGGATTAGCATTACTGTGGTGACTGATAATCTACATTAGCATGTTGATCATTAGAAGTTCATATGAAGATTTTTTCTATTCTGGATTCCCCCTTTTTTTTGCACCATCCCAACGTAATTTTTTTTTAAATTCTGACATGAAATTCAAAATTAGCTCTCATTCGACATTTAATGGTGCAATGTCTTACTTTTATTTTTCTTACTCAGCTTTTTATTTTGTTTATTGGACAGAATATGCATTTAATGGAATTAATTGCATTTTGGTTTATATTTGACAGAGGTCACAGCTAAAAATTTTGTTGTACAGTAAGAAAAGGAAAAGGAAAAAAATTAAAATTGAGTTTTACAATAAATTATTCTGCCCAAGCGGCCTACATGACAGTATATTGGTTTTCAGTCTACATTGGTGTTCATTCATAAGGGGTTATCAACAATAGCAGTACATAGCGATACATGGTGTGAAAAGTGTAGACATTTTGTGTCATCAGTATAGAAATTTAAATCTTTCAGTAAATACACAGAATACAGTTCATCATCATACACTCAAACTGACAGCAAATGTTGGGTAGACTTTCTAACACTCTACGAGCATCTCCTGATTTCCCTTTACTTGCATTTTTGGCTCCTGACATTTATATCAAAGATCTTCACCACTGACTTCAAAGGACTTTGCTTGAAAAATAGTCTAATTTTCCTACTTTTCCATAACCATAAGTCATGTCATTCCATCCTCTGTGACTATCTATTTATCTCTGATGGAGGCCTCAGGCTGCAGCTGCAGTGATCCGTCACACAGGCTTGGATTATCATAGCAATTTAAGGAGTCAGATTTTTCTAAATGCTTTAAAGCACAGGTCAGAGCGCAAATTCTCCTTTTTTTATTAGTTTATTACGTCATATTTAGGCTAAAAAGACGTGTTAAAAAGTATACAGGTGTAAAACAGCCTTTTCTTTCACACCAAAAAATTTCCCGTGGCGTTGCATTGCACTTGTTGTATGTGA